GAATTATTATTCAATAGCCATAATAATTTATTTTTCATATCAAATAATCATCTAAATATCAAAAAATTAATTTATATTTTTAGATTTAACCAAAAATCTACCTATAGGGATCTAGAGATAAACTCAAATGTCTCAATTCTAATTCTATCAACAAAATAATATTCTAAAATATTTATTACACTACCAACAACATCAATAATCAGATTTACTCATCAAAAATTCATCCCTCTTTCAAACCCTAAATTTTTTAAAATCTCAGAATCTGCAACTCAAAGAGAAAAATGACTAAGAAAAAATGTTTAGAACACTTACCTAGTCTTAAAATATTTAAAATCTCATTTGAAGTATCTTATTATGAAGCGTCACCTTCTAAATCAGCTCCCATCGACGACGCGCACTCGCTCTGTTTTTGTTCTCTCTGTCGTGCGCAAAGAGAAATGAGGAAAGGGAAGAGAAAATGAGATCAGAAGGGTGACCGTGTTGTTTTGAATAAAAAAGGTGGGTCCCACATAAATTCATGCCTTTCTCTCTTTCTTTTGTCTTCTCCAATGCACACACGTGAATGAAATTCATCCGCCTCCCTTTTATCTTTTTTTTTTACCTTATTTACACCTCAACACCTAAAGTCCTCCCCCCTCTTCAATTTTTAATTTTCTTTTATGTTCCTTTTCCTTCTTCTTTCTTTCTTCTTCTTTTTAAAAATATTATCATTACTATTTCTATTTACTATAAAATCATAACTTAAAATTTTAATCTAAATTAAATTCAATAATAATCTTCTAACTAAAATTATTTATATCTAAATATTCCTTCAAAATTACTCATTTGCTCTAAATTAACTTTAAGTTAATTTTTTAGATGTTACAAAACTCATAATTTTGTGTGAGTTAATACGCACTTGGATTTTCTGGCAAAAGGCAGATTATTGGTCTACTATGTGCAAGCCATTGTTTTCAAGATGCAATAATAGAGAAATTATGTTTATGTAACTCCCACTTGAAGGGAATATTGTAAGGGCACAAGTGTAAGTTAACACACGATTAAATATCACTCATATTCTTGCTTTCAAAATTTAATGGATTTTTTCAATAGATGTGCATTAATATTATAAATCAATTACATCTTATAAAAAATGAAAAATTTAAAGTTGATTTTCATTACAGTAAACCAGAAGCGTACTGATCCGCCATATATATTGTTAGCATAACTTGTTTGATCATTCTCAATCATATATGATGCAAATAGTTATTAAGGATGTGCATTGATATCGATTAAAGAACTAGAATATTCTTTATAAATAGAAAATACATTTTATATTTTTAAGATTTTTTATGCGCTGATTGTTCTCAAAGAAAATATGTAATGTTCACAAATTATGATTGAAAATGGATCTATCTATTTTTGAAAATATAACAAATTTAAATATATGGGCCTATTCAGATAGCATATGAATGTTGCAAATGTCAATAAATTTGATAGAAGCATCTATAATATGTTTTTGCAACTTGAATTTTACAAGATTATATACATAAATCATAATGTAAAAGCATACAATTTTCAAGGTATGTGATCCGGACAATTTTATTTGAAAATGCTAATGAATTTAATATCTCATACTTTCAATGCATGCTCATTTGAAGAATAGTTGAAAATTCTATTTAAAATGTGATGTAGTGAAATTATTTGTTAAAGCCTTCTCCACAAATAGCTAGATCAATGCTTTTGAGAAAAACAAAATTTCCATTGTTAATTTGGAATATTTGATTTTACAAACTATAGCACAATACACATTAAACCAATAAGATAATGTAACCTCCCCATTTTGAAATTGGCTTTTGCTTGGGAACCAAGTACATGCCATTTTGGAATTTTTGAATGTGCGATACTTATTATTATTGTTCCAATAAGCTACATATAGATGGTTATTCATGAAAGTTAGGATAAATGTTTGATAAAAAATTGCTCTTTCTTATTTGTCTCTAAAAGAAATAAATTGTTCTTGATAAAACAATAATCACCAGGAGTGTCAGAGATGTTGAATCTCAGAAATAACAAAAAAGGTCCCCGAGCTCTCTTAATCATAGTTTACTTGGATGTGAATATGTAAAAAGAACGAAACAGAGTTTTTTTTGGATTAATAGTGGTAACTTGAATTGGAAAATAATTCTAAGATTAATTGAAAGTACGAAGTAAATATGAAAAGTAAATTGACTTGGTTTGAAAATGATAGTGTCATTAGTGATTTTGATAATGATGATCCCCCTCTCCTGCAGTCCTTTGATCCTTCTATGAGCATTTGATGAGACTGTTATTCCCATGAGATTCGGAGCTCATTTGCAAAATATTGAGGATTACTTAGCACGGCCTTGAGATTCTTGGCACATTAGATGTTCACCTCATATCCTTTCAACGACCCCTAACCTCTTATGGCCTCAAGTCTTAAAAGTTACACCAAGCTTGTATCTGTGGCACACCTTACTCCTAGAAATAGACTGAGCTATACTTCTTGGGCTTGTCATGTTATTTGTTTTAGCTCTCCTCCTTGGTTTTGGGTGGAGCTTCAGTTTTAGGCCCAAACACAAAGAAACATTAGGAAACAAATGGATTTAAGAGACTTATATTGCATTAGCTAGTCACCATCATTTGACAAAATTTTCCTAGTATGAGAGGGAGAAAATGAGTAGCTGAGAAAAAAAATAAATGAAATGTATTATCACTATATCTTATTTAGATCCTCACATATAAAAATATGAACTAGGAGTTCATCAAATATTGCATTCCTAAAATATCACAAAAGAACCTACTAAATATAATCACTGATCTAACTAAAAATGACTAAATTTATTATTCTAGCTAAAAATGCTCTAATCAACATGAATGAAAATAAATAATACCTGAAGCATAAGAGATTAACTAGTTTCACATATAAAAACATGGTGAAAGAGGGACATATAATTAAGATGCTCATATTGAGGAGAAAGACACTCTAGATAAGAATTAAGACAGTTGATTTTAAAAGTCCTCAAAAGGTTCAAGTACTTGAAAGTAATAAAGAGATATCTCAATAAGTTATGTTATAATTAGAAAAATAGAATTGGAAAGATAAAGTTGTCCACAATAATTTTGATAAAAATATCACAATCTTGTATACAAATTTGTCATGAAAAGTGATAGAAAGATGATTGACTAAACAAAGAAAAGAAAAAGGAAAAAACACAATATGAGTAGAATTATATTCACTTTCATGGACATGTAATCCAAACACCTAAAATGTAAATTTATTACAAAATAAATGAATATTTGTGTGAAAATAAAAATTTTCACAAAGGTCTAATGGTGATCAAGTTCATTATCAGGTGTTATAAATAAAATAAAAAAAAGTGTGCGTGTCCATCTTCCTCACCTCTTTATTTTTATTTTTTTTCATAAAACTTCTACTATTAAAAGTGTGAATTGTACTTTATTTACTATTATCATTTGTACAACTCTTAATTTAAGGCCATGCCTATAAATAGGGTGTCCCATTTATATTGTAGGCATGAAAGAAAATACAAGAAATGGCATCCTCATTTCTATTACTTATATTCTTCTCTTCCTTCTCATTTATACTCTTTTTATATTTTATTCATAGCAACAACCTTATTTCACTAGATGAATTGCCTATATAATTGACGTTGTTGATTTAATTAACATATTTTTTTTATCTTGGTTAAATACTTTAATTACATATTTTTTAAAATTTTACCTTTTAATTCTTACTAAATCCTCTCAAAATTATTGCGAGGTAAGAGATTTCATGTTTTCAATCCAAGCAACAAAACTGATAAATCGGGCAAATTCTTGAAAAATATATTAGATAGATTACTTATGATAATTATGTAAAGCATAATTTTTAAAATCAAACATAACATGATCACATTGCTGCAATTACACTAGATATGAGAGTAAGGCCTGTGTGATGTAAGGAATCTAAAAAACAATTCATAATATTCATAACTTCAAAACATTCATCCAAATTATAAAACATATTCAGATGTCATTTGATATTTTAAAATATAAAATATTTTAATAAAAATAAAATTTTATTAATTATATTTGTTTCCATGCTTTCTTTCTTCCTTTATTATATTTTTCTCTGTTCAATGCTTCACAAATAAATTTATATTAAATAAAAATTATTTTTAAAAATATATATTTATATTTTAAAAAATAAAATTGTAAAATATATTTAAAAAATTTATTAATGTATATAATTTTTTTAAAAAATATTTTATAAATTAAAATATAACCATGATTTTTTTTATAATTTCATATTAAATATCTTATTTGATACTTTCTCTGTTAAAAAATGTAAGACTTTTTTGAAGAGTTAGATGTTAAAAAATGTAAAGTATTTTTAATCTTTTGAAATGTAATCATTATCTTTTTTTTAAAAAGTGACCATATTAATAATGAATTTATATTTATCATAAGTGTTTAATGAGAATAAATAAAAAAGATAAAATTAATTTAAAAATAAATAATTATTTTATTGATAAATAAAATTTAATTAAAAATATTTTATATTTTTAAAAAATAAAGGGGAGCATTTCTTGTGTCGTGACCCTATTAGGCGACGCAAGCTCTTGCCTAGCCCTGTCTTACTTTTTACTTATGCGGTCGGTCTTCTTGTCAAAGGCTGTTCAAACATCTATCTTCCATAATTGAGTAGCACACAATTGACGATCTTTTTAATAAAAATCACATTAATGAAATTTATTAGATAGAATTTATAGTATTATTTTTTTATAAGATTTTAAAATCCTTTTCATTAATAAAAAATCTATTTAAACAGAGAAATAATAAAACGTATTATTAAAAAATTTTATTTTTTTTCAAAAACATCTTTTACTGGTCCTCCACTGCAAACCTGAATTGTTGAAGTGTCCTCTTTGAAGAAAAAATCCAACTCAACAACCGTGGGAGTGTAGGTCCGTGGCCAACTTTAATGCCATGTCAGGCATTGTCATGAAATTATCTACAAGCTTACAGCCGCTGGTGCAGTATCCTTTTTTTTTTTGTTGGCCTGACTGGTGCAGCATTCCAGAGCTCCCTCCTGGAGAGTCACTCGTTCAGTAACTTCAATGGCTTACCAAAGAAGTGAGCGAACCCACAAGCCTAAACCAGTAACGCCCAGATCTTTGATTCTCCTTCTCGCCTTGGCGATCTCTGCCATTAGCTTCATCTCGCTCTTTTCCTCTCTGCTCTCCACTAATGGTTCTTCCTCCCCCGCCTCCAATTCCCTCCCAATTATGCTCAAACGGAGGCACCGTTGGACTGGCCATGACAAGTACTTGTACTGGGGCCGAAGGATAGACTGCCCTGGAAAGCACTGCGATTCTTGCGAGGGTTTGGGCCACCAGGAATCCAGCCTCAGATGTGCCCTTGAAGAGGCCCTCTATCTTCGGAGGTACCCACTCACTTCTTCTTGCCTTTTTCGGAGAATGTACTTGAACGGTACTAAGAAAATAATGAAAATGAAAGGTTAACCTTTCTTTATTTCCCATTAGCATCTCCGATCCTTTCCTTTAACTGTTTGGTTTTGGTGCAACTATCTAGCTTAATCCGGCTAAATCAGTCAATCTCTGTCTGTTGAAATGACGGAGACACTGACTGTAAGCACCGACCATTTCGCTCGGAGTGCGCGCCGGGAGAGATACCTATGCACGTTGATTGCTTATAAATGGAAACTCTGTGCCTCCTAATTTTTGGAGTTCGTAGGCGTCGTATTTACCGAGTACTTCTGCATTGCCTGCTCATGTATTTGATCCCTCTTGCTTGCTGCAGAATTTTCGTCATGCCATCAAGAATGTGCATTAACCCCTTACATAATAAGAAGGGGATCCTTCATCAGTTTAGTGAGGCTAGTTCAGAGGAAATGTGAGTTGCTTTAAGGCTTCCCTTTAGTTTTTGTTTTTTTGGGTAATTCCCTGTCAAAGAGATTTCATTTGTACCAATATTGTGCATTTTTTTAATTTATGACAGCGGAGTGATTTCTGATTTGACTATGTCTTCTATGAAAGGTGGGAAGCAAATTCTTGTGCCATGGACTCGTTGTATGATATAGACCTCATATCAGATACCATCCCTGTAATTCTGGACAATTCAGAAGAATGGTTTGAGGTTTTATCTACAGGCATGAGGTTGGGAGCCAGAGGAGTTGCCCATGTGGAAGGTGTTAGCCGTGCTGATCTTAGATACAACAATCGCTACTCTAATCTCTTGTTCATAAACAGAACTGCTAGCCCACTTTCTTGGTAGATCATCTATCTCATCCCTCTGTTTTTCTCCGTTTCCTTTTCTGGCTTTGATGTGTCTTGGGCTAAACTTTCTACAACATTTCTATCCTTCATCTGTCTTGGGCTTCAGGCCACACTCCATTTATATTGAACCATAGTTTTTAAAAGGACTTAAGATGGAGCCTCTAGAATCTTGAGAGTTATTGGCAGGGATAATTTTGTTTAGAAGAAGTAGGAAATGTTAAAGGTGCTCTATGTGGTTGAATTTGAAGTTAGTATCATAACCAAGTCGAGCTGTACATCTTGCCTTGAAATTGCTCATTAGACCAAGGATATACTTGCATGGCTTCATGCTTTGATATATAGGACTATCCCCTAAAATAGGTTATGTCTTGAGTATCACTATTATCTCCTGCAAGTAGAAATATAGTTTTGAAATTTTTAGCTTTTTGCTCAGGTGATAGTGTTGATGATCTTCCAGGTTTATGGAATGCAAGGATCGAAACAACCGGAGTGCTATAATGTTGCCATATTCATTTCTGCCATCAATGGCAGCAGAGAAACTAAGAGATGCAGCAGAGAAGGTACCTTGATGCACATTCTCTTTGAAGTTTTGTTTGAAGTCAATAATTTTCACATTCAGGTTAAAGTGAATAGTTGATTTGTGTTTTATTTATAATTTAAGATAATTTGGTGAGCATATGGTTTTTAGAATGTAAATAACCTTTTCCCCGTTAATATTGGGCTAGAAGATGTTATCAAGAACCTGGGGCCAAGTTATTTCAAAGGAAGACATGAGACCAAGCACTTGTGGTGTATGTTTAGAATAACATTTTTTTCGACTTATATCTATGAAACTTCTTTTTGAGGGCTTTTGAGGGGGCGGGGAATAACTTATATAGTCAGTAAATAATCATGGTCATGCATGCCTACTCATCAACTATTCTGGTATCATGCATTTTGTTAGTTTCAAAATAGCCATATGCAGTCTGTTCAACTGAGTCCTTCTAACTAAATTACCTCAGTTAACAGTGTTAACGAGAACTGAATGAAAGGACTTGAATCCTTTAGGAGTGATTACTTGAAAGGCAGTTTCTCCATTCTAAAAGCAAAGATGGCTTGCAGATAACCCAAAGTCGGAAAGTATAACCGTGCCTTTTGCTTCTGATTTTCATATGCTGAGTACATTATGGCTGACCTTACATTTCAGAGATATCTATAAGCTATTTAATTACAACAATACTCTTGTCCACAGATCAAAGCACTCCTTGGTGATTACGATGCCATGCATGTTCGTCGTGGTGATAAAATGAAGACCAGGAAGGACAGATTTGGTGTTACAAGGACCTTGCATCCTCACCTTGATAGGGACACACGACCTGAGTTTATTCTCTGCAGAATTGCGAAGTGGGTCCCTCCGGGAAGAACCTTGTTTGTCGCTTCGAATGAAAGGACTCCAGGATTCTTTTCACCACTCTCTGCCAGGTAATCCTTCTTATGTGCATCTGTTTGTGATTTTTAAGATGCATCGCAATGGTAATCTGCGAACTCCATATAGCCATTCTATTTATCTGCTATTCCAGGCAAGAGTTTGATCACTTGATGATGAGCCCAAGTCGCAACCCGTCTGCTATACAGAATTCAGGGAACAATGCCTTCCGTGCGCTTTATTTTTTGAGGGAAAATTTAAGCTAATACGTGAATGGTGATACGTGTTCGCAGGTATAAATTGGCATATTCATCAAACTATAGCAAGATCCTTGATGCAGTGGTCGAGAACAATTACCAATTATTCATGATCGAGAGGCTTGTAATGATGGGGGCCAAAACGTTCATTAAAACATTCAAGGAGGATGAGACAACCCTCAGCCTTACTGATGATCCCAAGAAAAACAATAAAAATTGGCAGGAACCCATCTACACAGCGGATCAAGGCACATGCTGACGACCGCACCTATTTCTATGTAGAAATTTCGTGGATTCCCTTGGCTAACAATGTAACTCTCAAATATTCCCTTGCTCGGAATACTCAAGAACAAACTTCAGCCCAAAATGCAGGGAGGCCTAAATCTACAAGAGCGAACTAATCCTATTAAGGTCGTCCAAGTACATATTAAAGCAACCAGTAGTCCAGGAGGGACACGAGTTAGTATAATCACATAGCATTTCTGATTCATTAATTATATCGCTAATTTTTATTTTTATTTTTTGTGAGCGTTTAAGAAAGATTATGCATCATGCACCTACATATGGGCAAATGACATGCGTGTACTTTTACGTGATGCCAGTAAATAAAACCACTACTGTTCTAAACTCCTAATTGGGCACGATAAACTTGCCTTCTTGTTGAAAATAGTGCGGAATGCTTGCGATTGTAGTATAGCTGAGAATCAGCTTTCTTCAAAACCATTACTATACCATGCAAAATGGGAGTTTAGTGCGACTTAGAATTGCCTCCATAGCCAGCTTTGCAAATTTTAAATCAAATTATGCAGCAAGTTTTAAAATGTCAATCGGCACCTATCTTAGAAGTTTAAACGCTCATTGTTAGAGGTGCATTGGGGAGGTAATAACTAGGACAGCAGCAGCCTACAACAATAGCATGCGAATGGAATTGACCAAGAATGAGTGTTGATCTACGGTATAAGTAATTTTTGTACAGACTCCTAATTCTCACTACACTGTCAGTAAACGATAATTACAAGGCTTAGAGTTAAGATGGGGAAAAAAATATGAGTTTAGGAGGGCCCCTTATCAAGAGCATCTGGAGTTCCCCACAATGATAGACATCCTCATGTCAGAATCAGTAAAATGGCAATGCTTGAAGAATGGGATTTCAGTTGTGAAAGGAATCAGTGAGACTGAGCTTCCAGGAGAATATTTGTGGCCACATTGACATCGTTTCTGGCATGCACTAATGCTTGTCTGGCTGAGTTCCTATCAAATCCCATGGAAACAAGCGTAGCTATTGAGTCCTCTGACGGTTCCGCCACTGATTGCATTGAAGCAGGGTAGTTTCTCTGTAACCAACACTGTGTTCTTAAGATTTGAGTCAACCAAAATAATGACGTTAACAATTGTCAAAGTAAACACAAAGGGTCATTTATGATGTTAGCTATTAAGAAAGTCCATATATGATATATTTATGGGGAATAAAATGCCAACAAGGTGGTTTGAGAGAATTAAACCGATGCTGTTAACTCATGCCTGTGAATAATAACTGCATTCTAAGAAAAATGAATATTAACAGCATCATGCTTAGATGGTGTCAATTGTTAGCTGTGTTATGAGAGCAAGTTCAAAGAAAGAGCTTATCCCAAAAGACTAGCTTGTTGAGTGGGAGATTTCTTTAAACTTATAAACCTTACATTACTTATGAGGCTCCTTGATGTGAGGCTCGTAACATTGTGTAGATAGCAGAAGCCGTGGGTTTATGAAATTGTAAGTGCAGACCTAAATTATGGAACCCAGGCAATTAAGACATGTAAAATTCAAAAATAAAAGTCAAAGCTTGCCTCTGCTTGGCGAACTGCTGAATAGAACGGTCTATTTCCTACAGCATTCCTTGTTGATGGAGCACGAGAACTCCCCATAGATGGTGAAAAAAACCGTGAAAAGAGTGACGCAATGAACCGTGGGAACTGAAAAAAAGCACAGTAGCATAAGCACAATCTTGTCACGACAAGAAATCCCCAAAAGTCAAATAACTGCAGTAAAATAATCAAAACTGTAGTCTTTAAATAAGCTCTATCCGAGAAAGTTAAAAGCAACATGTTCATGTTAGAGGGAGGATAGTCCGATAGAGTAAAATGAAAAGGAAGAATGCAATCACCTATATATTAAAGTTCCACTAAACCCTTCTTCTAAAAAATAGTAGTTACACTGCTAACCACAGATTGAACAAAGATAATACCATGAAGATTACAAGACACGCGATATTTGACCAGCATGCATGAGTACAAACATCTTCTTCCTTGAAAAGGAAGGTATTTTATAGTGCTTCAAACGGTCAACATTGATTATTAGACACAATCCTAAAGTTATCAGCACACATATCTAACAAGAACATAGACCTCAGTTAGCTGCAAGGACCTAGCATCCTTTTCCACCAAAAAGGGTGGCTCCAGGTCCGTAAATCACACAACTACCAAGATGGAGATGCAAAACTGCAAATTATGATTCATGAGTGATTAATTCCACACTTTCATGCAAAGCTAGTGGTAGGATTCCTCCTAGCGGACACAATAACATACAGTGAACAAGAAACATGACTGAACATGCTTACCTTAGAATATAACAATAAAAAATCTCCAGACTTCTGATTAAAATTACCTTGGCTTTACGAATATAAAAGACATTCAAACGGTACAAGTAACCAGCAAGGATGCCACACAACCCAGGTAAGATTGACCCTTTGAATGATGATAAAAGAAGCTGCAAGAATAAATAGCTATAAACGTCGAGTGCTTTAAATCATAAATATTATGCTTAAACAAAATTATACATAAGAATACATAATCCAGTTATAATTTACCTGAATACCAGCTAGATATGTGAATGACTTATCAGAAAATGGAAAACCAAGTACACGGAGTCGTGTTGAGACTGGAATATCAAGGAAAAAGGGCACAAATGAAGCAAATATAAGACCATAAGGTCCAGAGGAGACTTGTTCCACAAAACGACCTGCAAAAGCTCATCAATGCTTTATATGTAAATATCTCTTAATACAAGACCACAAAGTGACAGGGATTACTAGTTTAAAAGCCCATCCAGCGCATCATGATAAGATAAGAAACAAGCTGTTGCTGAATTATAAGTAAATGATAGCTAAGATAAGGTTGACTATAAATAAGCTTCGCATCACTGTTTTGGGATCCTTAAGTGGCAAAATCATATTTCACTAGCATGAAAATGGGATCAGTTAATCCTGAGTAGGTAAATTTCCAATTGTACATTATTTGCAATCACATTTTTATATTTTTACTAACGAAACACCATGTCAGACAATTTAGTTAAAATATTTAAATGTCATTAAGTGAAGCACTTGGTGCTCAAGGCTCCAATGACAACTAACTTGAGCTCAAAGTCAGGTCACATAAAAAGCAAAATCCGGATTACACTTCTTATGTAAGCATTGAGGCTCCTCAATATAGTATAACCACATACCATCTTAGTCATAAAGATATTTGAAAATTTACTCCAAGTTAAAAAGGTGAAAAGAAGGGGACAATAACATTAAACAAAGAAAACTGAGCACATGAAAGAGGTGCATGCAGAAATGAAATCAAGTAAAAAGTACCATCAGTCAAGAAAAAATATTATAAAAAAAACTAGTTACGAAGGAAGGGCATGAGGGCCTTATATTTGCACCGTTCATGAGCTTTAAAGCAAGGACCTCAAACAGTAGTGAAACTAGCATGGAAAACACGACAAAGACCTGCATAAACAGTGAAGATAATTCTAAGCCACATACAGGGTAGAGTTAGGGCAAAATATATTTCCACTTGGATAAATAACATAAGGCTGAGAACTAACGCTCAAATGTCTACATTGGCAATAATGGAAGAGAAAAAATGGTGTTTGAAAAGACAGACCTCAAGTTGTCCTGTTAGTTAACTACAGATTAAAGCACTATTATTATGGAGATGATGGCATTGATAATGCATCGGACAACATATGATTCTTGATGATGAGCTAGTGGCTATTTTTAAGAGGAAATATCAGCTATGACAGCACCAACATAATACCTACCCCGCAATTTTGTTAGAAGATAATGTGAATCAACCATGACAAGACACGCATTAATCTAGTTTCCAACTTATAATAATTGGGTACATCTTGTTCTGAATATATCCCTGGAAATTGCTTCCAAACTCAATAGAAGCATAAAAGTTACTTACTGAGTATTTATTGGAACCTATCTGCCTCTCGAAGACCCTAAAATAGTACAACAGATACAGCCCACAAATCAATTCTGGTGTTGATGAAAAGGCAAAGATGGACAGAACCAATTTCCAAAAACGAAGCTTTCCAAAAACATCCTGCCATGAAGCCAATAAAGTTAGCAAAATAAGTGGAAGCTTTCATGTTTCGAGATGGTGTTACAAATGATGGATTATTAAGCGTTTATAAAGTTAGCAAAGTCTTATTTTGTTTTTCCTCTGGCCCTGTTTATTAATATTTGATGGCATGAACCTTTAGAACAAGCTAATAAAGACTTGTGAAGAAATCTGAAGTTCAGTATTATACCATGGAAATAAAAATGTCAGAGGGATCAACTGTCTTGCATTGTACAATGAAAATTGACAAATGCCAAGTGATCTAACACCTGATAAAGGTTGTGAGAATCGACACTGACCCAGTTGGAAAGAAATTAAATTAAAATTATGATAAAACATCACATTTAGAGAGTAATTAAATTAAATAATATTAAGGATCAAGCTCAATCTATAAAATCGGAATAAGTGATGCAACCATTGAAAAAAAACATTGCAAAACCCAGTTCTATTATCCTCCGCCGTTGACCTAATTACCAAAAATAAGATACAACAAGCGAACGAGCAAGGGCGCCTGATAAGACATTACCAGACTATTCAAACGGCCTTGGATCCCGAAGAAGATTGAGAAGATAGCCGAGAAGATGATGACAGTCCTTGTAACGGGAGCGTTAGCTGCGACAGTCAAGACGATGAGCATGTAACAACGAATCAGAAGTGAAAACCTTCATCGCAAAAATCCCATTAAAAGGGCGTGACTATAACAACCAGAAGATTGGGGAGGGGGGGGGGAGAGAGAGAGAGAGAGAGAGAGAGAGTACACACCAAAACCAGACGGGCCGCCGTTCATCTTCACGGCGAAGCAGAAAGTAACAACCTTGTCTCTGTAATTTGCCTTCGTCTCTGGCTCAGAGTCTCGGTTTTCTTCCCGCAACTTTTCCTGATTTTTTCGCAGTTGAGAAAATTGCATATTCTATATCTATTATTCAATTGACTTGTACATAACATAAAATAATTTCGGATTAAAATTTGGAGTGCATGACTTCCTGTTGTTTTTTAATATTTCATGTACTTTTCTCCAATTACATCTTTAATCTTTATATTTTTTTTTCTCTATATTGACACATAAACACAAAATTAATTGTATTAATTGATATGTTGGTATTATTAATGTCGTTTGGACCACATCAATATCCTTACTAAAAATATAGTGACCAACAATATTGATAGAAAAAAATGTGAGATCTAAAATATTAAACAAAAATATAAGGGCCTATTCCAAAACTGAACAAAATTTCAAGACCAAAAGTAGTATTTTTTTTATTTGATTTCAAGCCATTTTAAAAGGACACTTATTCAACACTTGAAGTCCTTTCTTTATTCAATAGTAAATTAAGCTTTGCTCCAACCCACTGTATCTTCCCAACTCAATCTACATTAGTTGGATTTAATTAATGTCATTAGCTGATGAGATGATAAGAAAAAGAAGCAAATTAAACTTGAAAAAATAGTTTTAAAAAATTTAGAATCATATTAGTGTATACTTCTCTGATCTTATTTATAGGAAAAAAAAGATTAATTTTAATTATATTTATGAAAAAAATTTTATTTTATATGTTCATATTTACATTTATGTTCTTATTAAATGTTAAAAAAATATTAAAAATAATCCTTGTTATTTTCAAAGATAGAAACTTATTAAATTTTAAAGAATTAATAAGATTTAAGGTTTTTATTGGTTTGGATGAAAAATGTTGGAAGTAATTTATGAATAGAATTAGAAGTAATTCATTTTGACCTAATATGGTAATAATTTTTTCAGCAGCACTATTGATATTTTTAATCTAATCTGATATCATGTAATATTAAATTGAATTTAAGTATTGTCTCAATTGAATAACCCTATTTACAATTTATGAAGATACCTTATTTAATGGAATTTAGAATCATTGATCATTTATGCACAATGTTTTTAAAGGAATTTTCCAAATTTTCACCAAAATAAGTTGCGTGGGTTATTCATATTAGATCATTTATTAAAATTTAATGTGTGAACAATTTTTATGATTTACTTTAATAATACATTATTAAATGTTTTATTTTTTTGGCTAAAAATAAATATAAAAAAAGAAATTTGTGCTAAAAGAAAAATCAATAAAATTCAAATATATGTTAATAGATAATTAATTATTTTAAATATTTAAAAAAACTAATCAATTTAGTAATTAGTCATGCGTAATCTCTTAAAAATACATGTAACTTAAATATGATTTATTAAGAATTATATACATAAAATGTTTCTTGTTGAATAAGATAGGCATTATGGTAGGAGAAAAGACATGCAGAAACAACCACATGAATAACATCCAGCTGATCCCAGCATTCGTGACGCTACAAATCTTGTCGTGAGTGCATTTTACTCATGCAAGGGTTTGATTCAAGCAATGAATATATACATATATGATTGATGGTATTATTATTTTTATTCCACAAGTTTAGTTGGCCAGAGCGTCATCCACCTCCTGATCTCCTCATCATTTTACAGTTTCTTGATACCACAGTAATATCCATCCACCTTATCCTTTTGCTCTCTATGGTGCTTCCTATTTCTCACTGCTTGTCTCCATCTGTAACCTAGCGCATACTGCCTGAACTTTAAAACCACCATGTTTGTCACTAACCCTGCTTTTTGTCAACCACTTTTCTCCACCTTTCTTACTACTACTACATGTTGCTATCATAAAACTTTCATATTTTACAACACCAAATTATAGGGTACTATATCGTTTGAACTTCATAAAGGAAAAGAATTGAGACCATCGAGTAATCTTTCTCTGTTACTAATTGCTAAACCATCATAATAAAACGAGACATCTAGATTAATTCTCTTACCACTATAATGATAGCGGCAATGATTCTTATGTCCTTGGCATGATTCTAAGTGACCAATAACACCATACTACTAACCTACAATTGTACATTCTTAACTAATGAGTTATTCCTCCATACAGATAATAGACCCAACACTCGTGCAAATATATAAATATGGACAGAAGTTATATTCCTTCCAATTGGTATAAGTATCATAAATTCATTGATGGCAGATGCTTGACAAGTTAGTCTAAGGTGTTGAAAACAATTTAGAAAAACTTGACAACATTATATTGAACATACCATAAGGATAATCTTTGTTTCTTCTCTATTAAATCTCAATGTGATCTCCTGGTCTTAAGTCATTCAAACAGTGCAAGGTATGAAGAGCAAGAGAAGAAATGTCAATGGGCGGCGTTCTTAGCCTGTTCCAGTGTATGTTTTCCTCGATTGATTATTACTCATAAGGTATATACCTGTAGAAAACATCTCCATTTTCAGCACCTGAGACATTCATACAATAAGCTAAGAGACCACAAGAAATATGATCATGACAACAAAAGATCATATCAAGGGTTGGTTTCAAGTTTTGGTAACACTTCCTGATAGAAAGGTTTAACATGGTCTAACTATATTTTTCTGTATCCATTGATAATCACCTAACCACTCGTATGGTAAGAGCCCCATTTTTGAAGAGTCAGCATTTACACATACCTTGCTTGAAAGGTGTCAGTATGAGAATCATAGCATAGTTGGGCATCATGAGAGCATGAACCCAGCATGACCATTCTGAAAATGGAAGAATATAATTTATTATTTAAGTATGCCACAGATACACATAAAATCTAAAAGCAGATTCTTTGTGCAAAACAAAATTGAGTTTTGAGCATTAATAATGAAGGGTTAAGGGTAAAAAATATTCTTAAAGTATACACAAAGGGTCATAAATGCCTCTGGACTTGATATTGGGTCATTTATATCTCTCAACTACCTAAAATTTGTGCTCCATTACCCTGACGTTTAGTCTCTCTAACAACTTTGTCTTCATGCTTTTGTGTATGCATTTGGTTGACTAGCCATGTACATATGGAAAAGTTGAGAATGACATGTGAACTACATGGAGGAGCTGATTGAAAGGGGTAAAAAAATCCTAAGCCTTTAGTTTGTAGTTTCTCTTTCTCTTGCTCGAGCGTAGAGTAAAATTAAAGAAAGAAGAGAAAATCTGCGTGAGCGAGGAGGCGAGGACGATATATGTAAAATCTAATCAGTATGTAGAGAATTGTATTAGAATTGAGGTAAGGAATCTATAAATTTCACACAGTGATTTCTCACATAAGCCCTTGAGTTTGTGTCAGTAGTTGTTATTAAAAAGATAGGTCCTAGCCATGATAAGGTATCTGACAGTGGCATCAATGCTGTCACTAGTGACGGTGGCAATAACGAAAGTCTACAAAAGTTGAGTGTAGAGGAATTTTATTAGTAGATGATGCAGTGAAAATGGTTGAGGACTTGGAATTAGAAAAAGATGTAAAGTTAGGTGATTCAAGTCAAGGAAAGGGATTACGAACTAATGGGAGTGTCGAGCAAGTCTCTGACGAGGACCATGAGTTTAAGAGAGAATTTAGTAGCTCAGATTCTGAGGGGCACAATGAAAAAAAGGGAGCCGAAAGAAGGGGAGATAAGATTGAGGAAATTGATGCTTCTCAATTTTCTAGAAAGGATACATTTGATGATGAAGTGGTTGAAGCTTACTTGAATTGGCAAAAGAAGCATGAGAAACAATTAGAGAAGATGAATAGAAATGTAAAGTATTCACTTGCTGACATAGAGAATTCGAAGAGAAGTGTTAGATAGAATCATGTGACTAATGAGGATAGTGGAGGTGAAGAGGAGGCACTCGAAAGTGAGTCAACAAGTGAAGATAACACTAGTAAAGGTAGTGAGGATAGTAAAAACTCTAGGCATTTAAGATTAAATGGATATAGCTATAGTGAAGACAGTGATAGTAAAGAGGAGGAAGTAGGAGATGAGATGGGGCCAAGCAATATAGATGGGCCTAAAGTTGAAGTTAGAGGCCTTAGGATGAAGACGGGCCTTCTTTATGTTGGGCATGACCTATAACAATAGAGAAGAGTTAGAGTAAGCCATAAGCAAGTATGCCATAACTAAGGGTGTGAATGTGACCTATACCAAGAGTGAGCCAATAAGGGTTAGGGCTAAATGTATGGAGGGATGTCCATTCTTACTGTTTACTTCTATGGATCAAGATTCACTTGGGGTGAAGATTAAGACCCTCTTTATAGAACACAGATGCGGAAGGGTCTTTAAAAACCTTAGAGCCTTAGTTGAACCACAGAACACTTCAAAGATAAAGTTTAAGAAAGCTCACAATACAAGATTTTTGACATGAAAGATCTGGAGCATGAGTTCAAGTTCAGTGTAAGCCTGTAGAAGTGTAAAAGGGCTAAAAGGAGGATAATGCAAGAATTGGAAGGGAGCTATAAGGATGAATTCTCGAAGCTTGAGGCATATTATTATGAATTGAGGGATTCAAATCTTAGATCTGATATAAGCTTGGAGCTGAGCAAAGAAGCTATAGATTAAGAAAGAAAGGTCTTTAACCATATGTATGTATGCTTCAATACATCAAAGGTATAGATCTAGACCTATTATGTTTTAAATAGCTTTTTATGTTTAAACTAGGTTACAAGAGCTTACCTCACATGAAATTTGGCAAGTTGGTTAAAGAGAAGGGTGTAGGCCTTTTATTGGTTTATATGGCACTTTTTTGAAGGGGAAAGCAAGAGGCATTTTGCTGACTATTTGTGATTTAGATGCTGATGATTCCCTTTACTCCATTGCTTTCAGTCTGACCTAGAAGGAGAATTCCCACAATTGGAGATGGTTTCCACAGTGGCTTTGGATCTCCCTTCAATTAGACAATAGCTCATCTATCACCTTGATGTCTAATATGCAGAAGGTAACAACGTATTTTTTTAACCTAATATAATTTATACTGTATTGACTTGTTGATACTTTTATTTATAGGGACTCCACTTGGTTATGAAGGAGGTATTGC